TACTGCACATCTAATATTATGACATTAGAATGGCATCAAATATTTATTACATTATTTAAAAGATATTGAAAACTTGAGATTATACTATACAATTTGCAGATCCAAAATTGAGTAGATATTGTGATACCAGATATAAATCTGATATTGCAATAGCTAAATCTCAAATAAGATATGTATTTTTAAGACATGGAGCTATTATATCATGAAAATTAGTGAAACAAACAATAACTATAATTTCATCCAACAATGCATAAATTATTGCCTTACATGAATCATCTCAAGAATGTATTTGGTTGTGATCAATTGATAAATTCATTCAAACAACTTGTGAATTTTCGTATGATGATTCTTCAACTATTTTGCAAGAAGACAATAGTGCTTATATTGCTCAGATGCAAGTTGGTTTCATTAAAGACGACAGAACAAAGCATATTGATCCAAAGTATTTTAGTTATATCCATGACTTGATTACTAATCAAGCAATTATAATTAAGAAAATTGAATCTGCAAATAACCTTGCTAATCTCTTCACCAAAGCTCTTCCATTGTGCAACCACCATCGACTTACTTATGGCATTGATATGCGGCGACTTGCTTTTCTTAAATAAGAAATTTAATGAAATTTTTAAATAATTAAAAAAAATGATGTTGTATTCTTTCTCCTTCATCTATGGTTTCGTCCTTAAATACAATAAGGTTTTCTTAGATAAGGTTTTAATGAGGTAACAATTATTGATCTTGCGAGATTACAGAGAAATATAGATCAGAATTCTATACAAATTTTATATTATATAAATATTATGATGAGCGAAGAGGAGTGTTGAGAGCATTAAATGTAGCTGGCGCTCTCCATAATATTTATTGTAGTTTACAATAAATACTATAGCTACAGTATTTGGAATGTAGTGGAGAAGAACTGTTTATCCTCTCCCCTTCTCCTCTTGTATACACGAGACACAACCAGATCAACAGATTTTTGTGTGGAGCTCTCTTTCCTTAGAAACTCTCTTGTGTATTACTTACTACTACTCTTGTGTCTTTCTAAACATTCTCAACATGAAGCAAGGAACAGAAGAATTGGATCTATGAAGTGGTCCACTAGACGAGGTGCGTGAGTTCGAGGTCTACTGAGTCAAACCATCTTTGACCTTACGCTGTAGATTCATGTGTCTGGCCCGATGGACGATGTTGCTCCTGCGCATCTAAGTCTTGGTCGGAACGTGCAGGCGCACTGTTGTGCAGGTTGCAATTGCGTGGGAGTGGAGGGCCTGCGACCCAACAGCGACGTGAGCGAGGGGACCGCCTCGATTTCGTTGTTACATGAGTCTACTTTTCCAAGGCGTGATTTTGACGACTGTGGCGCAAGCGTCCATGCTCAGGTGCCAGCACTGGTGGACTCCGTTTCTGATGAGCGGGTTATCGTGCATTAAAACCACAAAGGCTCTTGCAGCTAAGATAACAGCTTTGGATTCATTCGAGGGTAGAATTGCAAGTGAAACGAGTTCTGCCACTGCACTTCATTCTCCAACCTAATGCTAGGATAGGTATACTTAAATTCGTAAAAATTGATGCTTGAGGCTAAGGATAAGCGGGACTTTGGCAGCTTTGTGAAAGAAATGACACGGAGGGAAGAATCTTTCGTTGCCCCCAAGAGTGATGTGTGAAAGTTGCAATGCAGCAATCTGTACTGCTCTGGCGAAAGCTAGACGCTGATGAATTTTCTCAGATGTAGGAATTGCTGAGTTTGGTCGGATTCCACTTGTGTGTGCAGGTTTTGAAGAAAAGGATCGACAATGTGAAATTAACGGTTGGGCCCAAAAACTTCGATTTCTACAAACACGCCATTGAAGATCCATCTTCCGAGGATTTGTACCCGAAAATCTACACCTTCATTCATAAAGTAATTGTCTTCCCCGTCTTAATAGTTTTCAACACCCTCGTCTTACTGTCCTACTGGAAGATTCTTTGCGACCAAGGCCTTACAGCAGGTCCAAGTTAACTTGGACATAGAATCCTCCATCAGGTCCTCATAATCCCGTTAAGCTCGTTCCTCTCCATTGACGCAAGTGCAACACTTTCAGATCTGTAGAAGTATGTTTGCAAGAAAGTATATAAGTCAGGGCTAGTGTTTCGAGGCCTATATGTATATAAACTTATGCCGATCTTTTCTAGTAACCTGAAGTAAGTACCGCTTGCAGTAGGAATAACACATGCAATTGGGAGGAAACTAGCTGAAAATGGAGCAAATAGTTCCCTCCTTGTTTGAGGTCCTTGTTGATACAGGTCTTGCAATCTTATATTTTACCAGTTGTGCCTGAGGTTCTTTGTTATATTAATCCGTTTTCATCTGTTGTTTGCTGACTTGTTCCTGACTTAGATGTGCTCATATTTCAGTGACTTATTGTCTGCTTCGCAACAGGAATTCACTTTGCTGCAAGTCCTTAATATCAAGGGGTGGGATTACTGATTTCATCTGGAGCTTATTTTTTGTAGAAACGTGCTCAATTGCACGTAGTTTAGGTTGTATGCAATCTGTGTTTTTGTTTTTTCTTCCTTGGTGCAACTGTTGCTGACCAGGTTTGGAGCTTTGCCTTAGCGACATGACTTGCTCATGTACTGCTGTTGATGGATTATTTGGCATGATGAGAGTGCAGATTGGATGAGCCACAGTTCCTTTAGTTCTTGTATTGTGACATTAACATGTAAGAAGATATTACTTGAATATTTCCTTATACATCAACTGATTGCAATAAAACATTTTATGGAGGGATAAATTGGTTTGTAATGTGATTAGTTAAGTGAATGTGGAAAATTATTGATAGTTTGTTTAATTTGTAGAGAAACTAATTGCTTTCCATTAGTAGAGAGTTAAATTTCATTTTTTCTACTTTTGAGGAACAAAAGATTTGATACTCAAATATGGTAGTGAAAACACAAGCTAGAAAAATTTGGTTATAGTATTGAAAATTAAAGCCATTGTTGAACTATAAAGTATTTAGCCATTAGGTATGCTTTTCAGAAAATGTTGTTGTGGATATTTACTAAAAAAAATTTGTAACATTTTAAAAATTCTAGAATCTTTAAATATCTTCTAGACTTTTAAAACACATTTTTTGGATCTTTAGAAACCTCTAGAATCTTTTAAAATACACCATGAGATTCTAAAATTTTCTATTGTTGTCTAGAAGTTTCTAAAAAACTTCTGTGACCTTTTAAAAACATCCATAGTCTTTTATAAATACTTGAGATTTTCACTTGTCCTTAAAAGGCTATTTTAGAAGTTTCTTTGGACTTCTGAGATATTGCATAAATCTTTAAAAAAATCTTAGAAGCTTTTATATTACCTAATTGTCATAATATAAATATGGACGCAAGACAAAGGAAATACTTCTTTTGCTAATACAAACAATAGGGCAATTCAAGTGTTGCTTTATTCATAGTCTACTTTCTAATCTATTGTCTTATTTTTTGTAAGTCTTGATTTCTTAGTCCTTTGTCTTTGTATTCCTAATCCATATTATATTATTATTATTCAGCAAAGAATAAATAAATATCAACATTAATTACATGAAGTTGAATATTAAGTTTTTGAGTTACAAAAAAATCATAAATACAAAAAAAATTGTGATTTATAATTTGTATTTATAAAGGTAATATGTCAAGTACAATTGTTGCTAAGTTTTAAATACATTATTGTATAAATAAACAAAAAATTAAAAATATATTTATAAATATATTTTCAAGAGATCTAAAACTAATATTCTTATTTTTTAAAAATACTAAATAAAAAAAATTATCTCATATGATGTAATACTATGACCATAGTAAATTTAATTTTTTAATTAAGTATTATAATTTTTTTAAAAAAAATAAAATGGAGCTTTAGAATTTCTAAGTTTTTTTGTCTTAAGCAATATGGTTGATTACAACAAGAATCTAATTTATACAGATATTGCAAGTTTCTTTGCATCATGTCATTGCAAAATAGAGAATTTAAAGTTTATTTATATTTCAACTAATGTAATATATGATAATATAAGCTTAATATAATTATAAAAAATTAAAAATAAAAATAAAAAAAATCTTATAGTTTGTAGATGCCAAACAATGAGAATTCTATAGATAAAACCTTGGACAAAAGAAATAGGGATTTAAAAAAGCTTCATATGTATTAAATCCAATCTTGGTAGAAGATTTTGCCTCCTCACCATTTGTTTGCCTTCTACTTTAGTAATGAGAGGGCAAAGAGTAAAGAGACCAAAAACACAATCTTGTAAATATTGTAAAATCAAGGGTTGCAATTATCAACTAAAAAGGCTTTACTAAATGACAAAGGTTGAACTATCCAACTTGGACATTCTCAATTCGGATGATACACTTTTACATATACTTCATACACTTTTATGTATACACTTTTACATATATTTCATTTTTCTCTTGTTTTATTACCTTGCCTTAGGCCCTAGAGCTTATCAAATTAGGTAAAATACTTTTAAAAAAATTAACTTATGACTTAGTTGAACATTGATTACACATTTTCATTTTTTTTTCAATGCCCAATCTAGGGATCAAATTCTCAATAACCCCTAAAAAGTTTACATCCTCAAATAATATACATGTTGAAATTCTATCATTGGCCTCTTAACTCTTCACTAAAATTCCACCCACCCTTTCTTCTTGTCCAATGCCCCAATGTCTCCCAACCATTCTCTTGAACTTATTATGTTCAAATTCTACGTCGTGAAAAAACTTGTTGGGTTTCATTACGATTCAAAACCTTCCCTTTGTTGTCTCGCATGCAAATTATCGTTTCAGCTCACGTGATTTTGATTGTTTGTTTGTTTGTTTGTTTATCTGCACAGGTTGTGATGCACAGCTGACCGCAACGGGTGACATCACATTTAGTTGACGCTGCACAGCATGCAAGAAATACTAAAAACAGTCGGAATGGATTTTGTGGAAAGGAATAGTAACGAAGCAACATTCTGAACATGGTTATGTAAGTAGCAGATAGACATGAAATAATTACGTCACAGCATAAATGGAAGAAAATACAATCGACAGGTATTCGTCATGCGACAACCCTCTGCCGAATCAATACATAACCAGCACCCTTGAATGGGCAGACAAATACGTTGGTGGGTCCTAACCTCATCGATCTGGTCCTGTTTCCCTACTTGAAGGTACTCGACACTACTTAAACACTCTTTCAGGCTAGTAACTCGACACTTCATTCACTTGCGTGGATGGATGCTTTACGAAGTCGCCTCGAATTTGAATATTGTTGGCACTACGATTACGCGGTGCTCTTTCAGAAACAGAATCAGCTCGACATCGTTCACTCGATCACCCACGTCCAAAACCTCAGCACAAAGCTTGAGCTGTCACTATCATTGTCTCTTGATGCCTCTTTTGCATATATGCACTTGATGAATAAGGGCACTTGTGAAGAACAATCCTGAAGGTAAGGAAGCGCATACATTGCACTTATATTTCAACCATTTGCTCACTATCTCCGTCTTGCGATCCATCTGGCAGATCACTGCCAAAATAAAAGCCTAACCTAAACGCCGTGACCATCGCCTGTCCAGCTTCCGAGTAGCTTGGATGCTTTGCTATCACTTTCTCAACTGATTCTGTACTCACATCTCTAGCAAAATTGCTCAAATGCGATTCTCCATAACAGTGCCTAGAGGCCTGGTAGAGAAGTGAATCCTGTATAACTTGCATAGTATGATCTTCAGTCCAACCCTCCTCCTCCGAAGTCCGCTTCATGCCCAACCAATCATCCTGGTCAACTGCTCGCAGCCAGGCTTGTTCCAGCAGGCTATAATTTCCACTGCAAAATTTGGAACCAGCACTTGTGAACACCCGAAATGCACACAATGTTAGCTCCCTGGAGCCACTATTCAAACAAGCCTCCACTAACTGAACTGGTTGAACGACATCCTCCCCAAGTACTCCCAATTTTGTCGCCACTTCCTGCAATATCACATTTGATCGAGATTAGATTGTGAATACTGTTTGTGCAGCATCGTAATGAGAATGAGCATCTTGCTGCAATAAACCATGACAAGAGAAGCCAGTTTGAGTAACCAGATAAGTACATGGTCGACTACTACTCATTCGAGATCCACTTGAAATTGCTAAGTGAAACAAAATACTGAAATGTGCCAGGTTACCTGTACTGCAAGGATATCCATATCTGCTTCCAAACGACTAACTTCTTCCTCTGCTCCTACTGCCCCTCCTGCAGAAGGTACAAGTTCAAATACTACTTATTAATTTCAATAAAATGAATAACTGAATTCGAAGCATGAAATCGAGTATGAGACATAGCATGTGAATGACAAAGTACTGGAGAGGAAAATTTTATATGTGTGTGTGTGTGTGTGCTGTATTAAAGATTCATGAACACCACAAATAGTCTGACAGGAGAAAAATCAGATCATGACCTGCCAGTGCAGACAGCTTTGCAAGTTGCAAGAGCCTCCGTCGATGGCTGATGTTAAGAGGTGCAGACTTTTGAGAGAAGGCCAAGGTATGCAACGTGCCAGATGCTCGAGTAAATCTGCACAGAAATAGCTCATGCAACCATAAAAGAAGAGGGTGTTGCTCGAGGTAGGCCGAAACCTCCTCTCCAAATTCTTCCCCAAAACGAAGTAGACGGGCATATTGACCTTGTTGATAGCATTGATCAAACACGAAGCGACTAAAACGACCTTCCTTTAGCCCCATGCTTTCTTTCTGATCAAAACAAAATGACAAAGTATTAGAACACAGTTCCCTAAAGGTGAAACACAAATGACAGCCTCACGATGAGACCTAGAACGGGAGAAAACCTAACAAGAAACAAACCTAAACGAGCGGGAATATAAGCACATGGATTTCAGTTGGACAAAACAAGAAATTGTACATACCATGAGGGTACGCAAGCGCTTCTGGTCGTCGAGGTCGGTGCACATTTGAAGGAGGCTGGGAAAGGCTGCATGGCGCCGAGCGAGCGCTATAAGTGGCGCATATAGCTTCTGCAAAATACTGAGTCTTTGTTGTTCGGCGTTTTCACCCCTTCCAGCGTTCTGCAATAGCAACAAATAGGAGTTGTAAACATAAACCGCATCTGCATTTTTTTCTGAGATTCATGCCAGATTCCAAGTACTGCATACAAAAGTGGAAGGAAAACATAGTAATAGGCCAGCGAGAAGACAGCATGTTTCATGGGCATGGAGAACCTGTGTTGCAACTTGAAAAGCATGTTGTTGAAGAGCGGTGAGAAGAAGGTCCCTGCGGGTCCAATACTCCATCTGCAGTCCCCGGTACTCCTCTTCCCGTTCCACTTTGGCAGTAATAGCACCAGCATAGCCTTCCAATAGAAAGTCTGCAATTTCTTCTACCTGTCTCATCACCTCCGCTGTCAATGTTGGTTCACTCATGTCTCCCTCCACCTTGAGCTCTAATAGCATAGTCGCAATCTTCCACAAACCAGAACGAACATTCTGCTTGCAGTGCCAAGGGGTAATGCCCTCAGGTGAAGGATACCATGCTTGTTGAGTATCCCGGTAAGATATAGCAACCTGTAGAATTGTTCTACAGGCATTAGCAAGCTCACATGCACGCTCGATCTGGACTCTTACTGCTTGGTCACGCTGGACTAGAAAAGCAGCATGCTGCTGTATGCACCAAAAAAAATCTTCTAGCCCGGACACCCTTGTATAGAAGACCTCCATTTTGTCCCGGTCCATGAGAACAACGTTATTTCTTCGCGCCTTGTCTCCCACAAGCTGTACTAAGTCCCATATGGCTCCACTCATATCCCCACCATTAAACTGCGATAGCATTGTAGGGGATGCAGGTTTTAGCTGGGCACGAGAATTATTTAACTCTCTGAGGGCTACCATACTTGCCAGCTTCTCCCCATGCTCCAAAATTTCATTGAGAGCCGCTCCTGCACATCAACAATCATCTATCAAACTTGAGCAATAGTATTGCCATAGAATGAGACTGAAATCTCTACTAACGCGTTGATTCAAGTGTTAAATGTACGACATCCACCAGCAAGAACCGTTTCTGATGACATGCATGAACATATCATAAATATGAACAATTTACATGTGCCGCTTTGATTCTTCGAGCGGTAACGGCAGTCAACACACCAAGCTAAAAGCACTCAACCAAAACATACTCAGATTGTTCTGAAGTTCCACGTGACACTTGGACACTGCAAGAAAATTCAGATATTGCTGGTGCCTTCTCTGCTTCTCAGCAAGCTGCGATGATACAGTGGCAACCATAGCCAATCCAGATCCACCTCCAGATGCCCAATGCTTTGCAAATGTATCAACTAGTGCCCGACTAGAACGAGCAAAGACATTCTTGTCGCCATCCCTTTCAAATGCTCCTGCACGCAGCAGCTTTTCAAAAGCTTCGTTCGCTTGCCCAGAGGATAGGAATTGCTGAAATAATCGTCCCACAATAGCTTCTGCTTCTTCATCTTGCGAAGGCCGAGAAATCATGCCGTGATCCGGATTGTCGCCTACAGCTTAGCATCCAAGATAGAGGAATCAATAAGGGATGTCATTGCTAAATGACAAATCAACAGTCCAATCATGACTAGCATCATCATCTCAATTAAAAACGCATCAACTTCAAGTAAATATCCAGGTATTGAAAGCATAGGGTTCTGTATTTCCGTATGCAGCATTACAGAGTATCATAAATCACATGAAAGACTCGAGATAAGACATCGTACCAGCCTCAGAGCTCGATCGTTGCAGCGCCAAGGCTTCACCTGAAACATGTTGGGATCGGTCGTCGTTGATCGAGGGGTAGCTAATTTCATGATTAGCAAGATTCCTCTCAGAGGGCTCCACCCTTCCTGCCAAAACTACCTTGGCTGGAATGGCCCAAACACCAGCCTGCTCTGTGAGCACTATCCATGCACCTCCGTCATCAGCAGGGACTACAGACGCATCCAATACCTTCCCATCTCCACCGACTATTTCAAACTTATACAAATGGACAGCACCACTTCGACCTACATGAGCGACCGTGGCTGTCCCATCCTCAGCAAGAATGACGACAGACCCTGCCGGCTGCCCTCCTATCCGTAAACGCATTGAGTAAAAAAATGATTCTTCTTCCACTTGGGCCTTAGGAAGAATGATTTGAGGAGGTGCTTTGCGTTTAGGTTCTCTTTTACTGGAACAACTAAAATAATGAAGGAGATATTGCATGTAGGTTGTACTCCCACTGCTAAATGACGCCGTTAACATCACTAACTGCTCCCCTTCTTCATCCACCTGTAAGTCGAGCAGCCAAACTTGTTTCTGTCCAGAAAAGTCCGACATAACGTCTTTATCATTCGAAAGTTCATAGACCCAAGACTTGGAAACATTCCCTCTTAAAGTGAGTTCCACTTCCCAGCATTCAATACTTTGAGACGTCAATAGCAAAAATTCACGAGATGCGCCCCGAGGTGGTGACCGCCAAACAATTCTCCTCACACTGCAGGTCTCCGACAAAAATATGCTGTATCCTACTTCACTTGATGTTGCATCACGTGATATCCTCTCCCGTGATACACCATCGGCACAACAGTCAAATCTCCAGAGCTCTCCGTCAGCTCGGCTCACAATGGCCACACAAGTAGTTTGACTGCCTGTTGCTGATGCTTGGATAGATGTGACTTCTGAAGTACCTGAACCTTCTGTCCAGCCGCCAGATGCCCTGCGGCTACTTCGGCTGCCATCATCCAGCATTGAAGTGTCTTCGGAATCCATGCTTGTGATTGCTGGTTTGTCTCCATTTGAAAAAGCATCAGACCAGTAAACCAACGCTAGTGATTTACTGGAACACATAACCACACTCACTGCACTACAACCCTTGTACTGTACCTCCAAGTTTTCATCTGTCCAATGTGGTACCAGAGAAACGAACCACTTCTCTTCTGTGCTTATCGTTCCCAGTGGTGGCATGTCCAAGACACACCTCTGGCTACTGCGAAGGTTATTCCAAACATATAACTGGTTTCCTTGCAGAATCCATGACAATCCACTCCCTTGGTCCATTCCACCTTGTAATACAGCCCCTTCTGCAAAAGCACTTACCAACATGACCATGAGGACTTCGTAGCTTCAATTGAAGCGATATCAGGTGACAAAAGCCTCCAAACATGCAAAAAGAACAAAGAAAAACTCAAACGTCGTGCATAGACTCTAGACAATGCAAAAGCTGTTGCATTACCTGGCTGAGTGGCAAAAGTCGCGTCGCCATGGGAACTGAGCAGCTGCTGAGGCAAGTCGCACACAAACACTGGGTGGTTGCCATCGGCAGTTGCAGCTTTGTCGCTATTTCGAACAACACTAGCCCTGCGAACACTTCTTTCATTAGACCAATATTCTCAAGTCAGCTCGGACCACAATCGAATATGATTCGATTCCACGAAATTTCGCAAACCCTTGATACTGTCAAGAATCGCAACGAATCGTAGATTCATGCATGACATATATTAACAAAAATAAAATATAATAAAATAAATCCAACTCCAGAACCCGAATGTGAAGTAGTGAAGGTTCAACGTCTCCACCCGACGGCATCGAAACGCAACATTGGCGATAGCAATTCAAACATCCGCTGCACTTAGATTCAACCTCGCATACAGTACCTGGGAACAGTAGGGGCAGGTGAGGGTCTGGCAGCATTGGGAGCAGGTGAGGGCCACGGCGATGGCAGAGCACGCGAGGGAGCAACATAAGGCAGCGGCACTACCGATTTCGGCGTCGCGGCAACCTCTCCTCCCCCGTAGCTCTCCCTCTCCTTCACTCGACTTGCCGGTTTCCTTGCACGTCCTGGCGTGAACATTGTGACGATCGGTCACAATACAGGAACAAAAAACAAAACAAAAAATCTCAGGAACCGCTTCACCACAACGATCAGTCAACGCCAGCTGCTTAATGAGCCATCCTGATGGACAAACTAAACCGCCATCAACGAAACCGGCTCCTGCCTCTAAACCCTAACACACCATCGACGCGTCCCTGAGAAACAAACAACACCACCACCACCACCCGAGCTGCAGAATTGGTCTCGTTGAGAAGCTGCAAACCCTGGCGCCATCAACACCCGAGTTCTAATTCGAAGCCAGCTTCATCGTCGGGCGGGGCTTGATTGAAGCAAAGCCTTTGCTTCGTTTGCTGTCCTTGGGAGTCGGCCCCAAAACCCAGTTAGTTCCCCGCCATGCCCGCGACACAAATCCACATCACTTTCTCTGTCTCAGCAATTGTATCATATTCCACAATTGTTTTGAAATTTAGAGGGGAAAACCAACTAACTAACTAAGTAACTAACTAATTAACTAAACACGTCCGTTAAAATGGTACTTGGTAAATTTGGTGTGTACTTTGTACAATATGGGGGAACAAATACAATGCAAATTCTATGTATTAGATAACGTATGTTTTTATAAATGTTTATGATGTGGTATTCTCTAAATAATATTTTCTTAGAAAGTAATTAATTCAAGTGATAAAAAATTTATGATATGATAATGATAATAATAATATCACAAGAAACACATCTTTTACCAAAGTAGGAGGATAGATGTTATGGTAATTTTGGTATAGGAAAACCATTGCTTTTGTTTTAGAAAATACATATTGTAAATGATTCATTTTCTATAGAAAGTGTTTTTTCTCTTCTTTGTGTTGTGTGATTTTGGCTCTCTTTTTATTTAGAGTTTTTTAGTCATATTTTAAAATAATTCTTATCAAAATCAAATAATCTTAACCTTCAAATGTTTTAATTTATAAGAAATCTTTTTGAATCTTTTAGGTTTTTATTTATGTTTATAATAATTCTTAAATCTTGGTTGGCTATTCGTTTTTTTAAAACAAAAATTAATAGCGTGTAATTGACAAGTCTTTATAATCTAGAAAAAAAGAACTAAAATTTTATATATTATATAATTTTATTAAATAAATAAAATTTATAGTCTATTTATTTATTTTTACTTGCTTATATTCTATTTGTGAACTTATAAAATTTAAATCTTTGATATTTGAATTCTAATATAAGAATTTAATTTATCATACTAGGTAAAAAATTTCTTTAATTTATTTTGTACAATTAAAGAACTTTTATTAATTTTAACAAAATCAGTAAAAAAATTTAAGATATAGTTTTTTACTTTAAGATGTTTTATTATTCTATGTCCAAGAAAAATTGGTTTTCTTATTTTTTAACATGCAGAGTTTAAAAAATGTAAAAAAAAATTATATATTATATTCCATATTGATGATTTTTTATGATTGTATAAATTTAAAATATAAAAGAATTAATAATAAATCAAGAACATTTAATATAAAAACATATTCCAAATTTATATCTGACATAAATTATGGATATTTAAACAAAAACAATCTTTAATCTTGGGATCTACTTTTTTATTTTAAAAATACATGTATTTTCTATTAAAAACAAATACAAATATTTAAATTTTATCCATCTATAATTAAATACTAAAACAATTATCTGTTGGTATAGGTTATACTATTGTATGATTTATTTAGACATTCCAAGAGATTTATAAGCAAACCAAAATTAAGTAAATGAATAAAGTTATATTTTCACATAATGTGGTGGTTGACACTTGTTTAATTTGATATACTTAACACATTTTTTCCAAATTATTTTGAAGCTAAAAGATAAAAGAAAATAATAATTTTAAGAATAGATTGTTTGTTCATTTAGTAATTATGCTGATCCTAATCTAAATAACTAAAGATTAAAAATGGTCATAAAGCCGTATCCACATCTTGTCTTGAGTTGAATTCAAATTTCTTGATTCTTAGAGTGAAGATATTGCTATGCTCTTTTTGTCATTAATATTTATTTTTACCTGTTTGTAAAATTAAGAAATACATATTAGAGGTATTTTAGATTCTTTATATTTTTCTTTAATTTTATAAAAAAGTTGTTGAAGTGTGTAGGAAATTTAACAATTATAATTACTTGTTTATGCATCTAGTTGAATATTTTTTATTTATATCACAAAGTATATATATATATATATATATATATATAATTTTTTAAAGACATGTATTACTATGATATATAATAAGAATATTAATTAATAATTCCTTTTCCTTCATTTTAAATATTTATCATGATATATTGGGTTTTTTCTAATAATACCGCACACAAATTGTGAGCTAGTGTTGCAAAAAAAAACTGTGGAACTCAATCCATGATGTGTTTTGAGAATAATTTCCAACCAATGGTGCTCCAACTTTCTTCATTGAAGAAGAATAAATCAAGACTAGAAAATGACTTAAAGTAAAGTTAAATATGAAAAGTGGAATGTTACTACAATCTTAACCCTTCAGTGTAAGCAAAGCATCCACATGAGCTCTTTCACCGCTGTCAATGCGGTTTCACATTCCCAGCAGCAGGATTGTAAAGCTTCGACCGACTGCTAGAAACCAAGTTCTTGTATATTGATATACTCTCCACACACACACACTAGTGGTGCACAAAAATTCAGTGACAAAGCGAAGCCTTCATTCATTCATTATGGCCCCGCCACAGAGGTCTCGTCCACATTGGAAACGCACTGAAACACAAAACCCAACAGCAACTGGGCTCAAAATTGCAGTAACTGTGCAGGTTGATTCGAAACGCCAGGAGAATTCTTGCACAATTTTGGGCGAAAGGGGTCATTGGCACATCAAAGGGACATGAAAAAGAGCTGGAGAATTGTGGCGAAAAAAAAGAAAAAAATTTGCAAAGGGAGAAATAGATAGTACAGTGGAGGCGAATTAGAGGGGGCCACGTTGTGGCCGGATAGGTAACGAGTGGCTCCCTCACCGTGGAGAAATGGATGTCCCAGATAAGGCAACGCCTTCGCCTCTCGCGCGGATAAGGCCCCTCCTCGTCCATGGACAAGCTTTGTGGAGCTAGACTGGGCGTTTTGAGGAGGCCCCATTGTGCAAAAACACAACTTTTCTAGCAAGTCCCGCAGCTGGAGTTATTGCTTGCTAGTGTATTGTCTAAGGTAGGTTTTTGGTGTGGAATCCCCCGCCCCACAATGGCAGCCATGGCATGCACCTCCGCTGCGTCGAAGACTGTGTTCACACCCCGCTTGGGAAGTGTGAAGTCCGTCAAGTCTGTGCGCTCTGTGCAGCTGACATCTGCTTTCCATGGCCAGAGCGTCGCGAGAGTGAGCCAGGTTGCGAGGTTCAAGAGTGCCGATGTTGTGTCCAAGGGTGCCGGCAGGAGAGCCGTGGTGGTGTGCAAGGCTGCTGATGGCAAGACTGTTGTGATCGGTTTGGCTGCTGATTCTGGGTGCGGGAAGTCGACGTTCATGCGTAGGTTGACGTCTGTGTTTGGTGGAGCTGCGTCCCCCCCGAAAGGTGGCAACCCTGATTCCAACACCTTGATCAGTGACACTACCACTGTGATTTGTTTGGATGACTACCACTCCCTGGACAGGTATGGTCGTAAGGAGGCGGCTGTGACCGCTCTGGACCCCAGGGCTAACAACTTCGATCTCATGTATGAGCAAGTTAAGGCGTTGAAGGAGGGCAAGTCTGTAGAGAAGCCGATCTACAACCACGTCACCGGGCTGTTGGATGCTCCCGAGACCATCCACCCTCCTAAGATTCTCGTCATCGAGGGTCTGCACCCAATGTGAGTTTCCCTACACACCTGGGAAATTCATTTGATCAATTGGGTGCTATGTGTGTGTTTGTGCATCTAATCGCACTTAAGTCACCTGTAGGATTTCGAACCAATGTGTAGGGCCGCGATTTCTCTTCCTTCTTCGCTTTTCTTTCTTCTTCTCTACCTCCTCCTCCCCCTCCAAAAGAATCCACAAATTCTCGACCAATTCGGACCACTCTTTCCGAACCCCTAAAGGCAGGGGCTCCACGTTACGTCAATTTCGAGGATGTAGATCATTCCCCTTGCGCAATGGCGCTCAAACACCCGCGAGATTCTGTTGCATTGAAGGCCATAGGGTGTTCGTCTCCAAACTTGGTCGTGAGTTGGGCAGTAGTCTAATCCCAATGCCTCTACCTCTCATGTGAGGTGATATATTACCCAGTAATCTGGGATTTTGCTTTTCCACCCTTTCCGCCAACCCCGCTGTGTTATGATGTCAATATCACCACACGCATTGCCCGTCTGGACAGATACAATCGTTGAATACGAAATCAATGATATCACATTCATCCGAATGTACTCAACTGACTGGAGCAATCTGAATAAACGAAATCTACGCTACTTCCTGCGCGCTGTGTGTTAAAAATGTGAAACTTGGGTGTCGACGCTGTTTGCCTCTGACGAAGAGATACTCATTGATGGTACATCCAAGTGAAGAAACAGTTTCTACCTTCCCCTGCTATCTGTATTTATGTGTTCAGCGCTGAGCAGGTACGACGAGCGTGTGAGGGAGTTGCTGGACTTCAGTATCTACCTGGACATCAGCGACGACGTCAAGTTTGCCTGGAAGATCCAGGTCTGCTACCTCTGAAGACTTGAAAACTCTTACCCTTTGTTGTAACCATGCATCCTCTGTTCCACATCATTTGCGGCTGAGGATCTGGTCTCCACGTTGATACATCCCAGCAGGGAGTTCGTAGTGGATACATGCTCTGTTCCATCTCTGTCTCTCGCTACCTAGACGCTGCCTGCTATTTCTCTGGCTTCTCGTTCGACTGACGCTGTGAATCTATGTGCAGCGTGACATGGCTGAAAGAGGACACAGCCTCGAGAGCATCAAGGCCAGTATTGCTGCCCGCAAGCCCGACTTCGATGCCTTCATTGGTACGTCCCGGAACCTTCGAATTGCATGTTTTGATTTGTGACGGTGCTTAAACTCATTCCGTGTATGGCCTATGTAGAGCCCGTCGTGTCATTATGCTTATGATGTCCTGAATGTTGCAGAACTAGGTGGTGACAATACAGAACTCTAAATACAGAACTGTGATTGTGAACAGACCCCCAGAAACAGTACGCCGATGTAGTCATCCAGGTGTTGCCCACTCAGCTCATCCCCGACGACAACGAAGGGAAGGTCTTGAGGGTACGCATGGTGATGAAGGAGGGTGTGCCATTCTTCGAGCCCGTCTACCTCTTCGACGAGGGCTCCACGATCTCCTGGATTCCCTGCGGACGCAAGCTCACATGCTCGTACCCCGGCATCAAGTTCTTCTACGGGCCAGACACCTACTATGGCAACGAGGTGTCGGTGCTCGAGATGGACGGCCAGTTCGACAAGCTCGACGAGCTCATCTACGTAGAGTCCCACTTGAGCAACATCTCCACCAAGTTCTACGGAGAGATCACGCAACAGATGCTGAAGCACGCCGACTTCCCCGGCAGCAACAATGGCACTGGGCTGTTCCAGACCATCTGCGGTTTGAAGATCAGGGGCGTGTACGAGAGAATTCTTGCCAACCAGAACAACGCAGCCACGCTAGAATCTGCCAAGGCGTAGATAGGATCACTGTAATTTTATGAATTCAGCATCGGTGTTGTCTATTCTGGTGAGAAAGCCAACGCTGGATCGATGGTGTTCCTGTCAACGATTCTTCTGATGATCCTGGTTAGCGCGGCGAGGGTGGCAAGTTTTGTAGACGTTTTATTCGTTGACTAGTCCCCAGGGCAGAGAGTCCGTCCGTCCTCTTCCTGTGCAGGTCCTCGCAAATGCAAAGCCTTGTGAGCTCCATCTCGTAATCATAATTGCTCCTTTGCGTTTGTGCATATCGTCAGTCTCTCCGCAATTGACCATCTTCCCTTCCCTTCCATCCCCCACTTCCAGCTCTTTTCATTTACTCTTCACCATCACTAAGCTAGCATCCACCTCACCACCTGCGACGAAATATATTTCTATCATTTTACACTGTGGTTGAGCTGTATTATGCCCGCTGACATTTTGACGAATTTGTGTCCATTCCCCTAGTCTTAGCTGTGATCTATTCCTCGCTGCCAACCCAAGCCTAAAACTCTTATCCATATTGTATGTAATAACACAGTTGTCAATGCGCTGTGTAAGCCACTGTCTACTACTTTCACAATTGAACTTTTTATATCCACTTAATGGACAACTGCTTAACAGATTGTTTTGTTACAATTTGCGTTAAAAAATGCGAAGACCAACATCCTTGCACAGTTTTGAAGAAATACTCGGAGAAATATTCTCTATTACGCTATTGTTGCAAATATCAGGAGCATGGCGTGTAGATGTAACATGTTACGATGAATTTTATATCTCGCTCATTGTAAATAAGCTGTTAAACATGCAAGTCCTCCATTCTATCATGAAAAAATGTGGCGAAGCGCAACGGTATGACAGTTTACGCTGCAATTCCTGAAGTAGACACTCAAGTCTTTGGATGATCTTAAAAGCTAGCAGGAAATGTCGATCAAGGATAGAACAGACCACTTCGCTTAAAAATTCAGTTGTGAAACTCCATAGCGTGGAGAACCAATCAAGTATCAAGGTAGAATCAAAGAAGGATTTCAATTCTTAACTAAGCAAAAGCTATTAGGTGGACACGTACTTGCCAGCCCAGAATCAAAGTTGACACGATTCATGGTGAAATTAATCCTTAACGAGTATTATGACTTTCACCCAATAATGAATTCAATCGTTAATCTAGTTGCTAAAAATATATAAATTCGACGGATAACATCATTTTGTATAAAGAAAATTACGTATCGTCGTTGTATTCTGTAGTAAAGACCTAATTCCACTAATGAATTTTAGCATCCAACATGCTTTCGTCAACAGACCAAAAAGACTGCCACAAAAGCTTTTGGCCAATCAAAGAACTTGACTTGGCAGGTGCTTCCTAGAATGTGCACTGCCAACAGAACGTATTCAGTTGTACTCTTCAGCACAAGACTGTGCTACTACCTCCTAGAAAATCAACAGGATAGTTGATGTCGCAGCAAATACTCTCATATCTGCAAGTTCAAAATCAGGAAAACAGAGTTAATCAGTTCTGTAGAGTAGATTCTTGAGTTAAAAGCAATCAATACTTCCTCACCGAAAAGCAGATATAGAAAGCAAATGGGACTCATAAACCTACAATGTCGAAACTAGCTAGTGTATAGGCCCGACCAACCTATTTTCAAGTTTTGAGATAATTTTTTTTCTTTTAGTTCATTATGCTTCAGAATAAGCATACTACAAAAAATTTAACTAGTTTTTTTTAATGATGTAGTAGTACGTGTTAACAAAAAGACGAAGTATAACCAGGATGTTATACGAGGGTTATGTTATAACATTTTGTCCTATTTTGTTCTATTTTATTCTAAATACAAGCAGATGCATCGTGTTTTAATTTCTTCGACGTAAACCATCCACCTATTTAGAGTGAACCGAGGCAACTCCTTTCAGGCACGCATGCAAGTTCCCTAGCATTTCAAAACTGATAAAACAGATAGATAGTCGTGGCGGATTAAAACGTCAATGGTTACGCTGCGCCCTAATTAAATTCAATTCATTTTCCAAAAGGGCTTACAAAACCCTGATACAAGATCTAAAAACACACAAGATTCCGAAAATTTGCACCTCACGACACAAAGACAGCCTACATACTCATAGGTACGGCATGTCTTAATCTCTATATACTTCAGATGATGTCTGGTTTTCAACAACATGAGGGTGCCTACCTGTGCATATCTACTCCTTTTTTACTCGTTTTACTGCCTTGCGCCTTGACGAATCCAATATAGACTTCCGTAACCGCACTGATTTTGGCGTTACTTCAATAATTTCATCACCCTGGACGTAGCCAATGGCCTCCTCCAAGTTAATCAGTCTCGGAGGTGACAATCGAACATTCTCATCTTTACCAGCCGACCGAATATTATTTAATTCCTTAGTCCGCACTGGGTTAACCTCGAGGTCAGTCTCCCGAGTGTGTTCGCCAACGATCATGCCATCATAAGTCTCCATTCCTGGCTTCACAAACAAAATGCCTCTTGCTTCAAGGCCCATGAGTGCATGAGCAGTAATTGTGCCCCCAGCCATTGAAACCAAAACTCCTTTCCGCACATTTCCAAGTGGGCCCCGATACTTCCCGTATGTGAGGAAGGCCCTGTGGAGGAACCCTGTCCCGTGAGTATCAGTGGAAAAAACACTACGGTAGCCAACAAGACCTCTTGAGGGGCACGTGAAAGTCAGTCGCGTGCGACCAACGCTCTCTGGACATGGACCCATGTCGAGCATCTCAGCACGGCGGTGAGAAAGTGCCTCAATGACAAGGCCGGCGTGGTCGTCGTTTACTTCGATTACAACTTCCTCGATAGGTTCCAACTTCTTTCCGTTTTCCATCTTATATAATACCGCCGGAGGTGAGACTGAAAGCTCAAAACCTTCCCGCCGCATATTCTCCAGTAATATGCCCAACTGAAGTTCCCCCCGACCTTGAACTTCGTACGCGTCCTGCCTGGGCGTAGGGATCACAGCAATAGACAAATTGCTCCGGGACTCAACCATTAACCGCTCACCAATTTTCGGACCCGTAAGCTGGTTTCCATCACGACCTCCTAATGGAGAGTCATTCACACTGAAGGTCATCGACAAGGTAGGCGGGTCCATGGCAGCAGCTGGGAGAGCTTCCGTCACGTCCACAGCGGCAACAGTATGCCCAATCGATGGTTCGGAAAGCCCAGCTATGGACACGATATCTCCAGCTCCAGCACTGTTGACAAGGACACTCGTCATCCCGTTTTTCTTCATAAGCTTTATCACTTTGCCCTCGTCAAAGGCCACTGAGGTGTTTGCTTCACCGCTGCGAAGACCGTGTATCCGATCACCCACACGAACAACACCAGATGAAATACGTCCAGTAACCAGACGGCCTAGATATGAATCGTGATCCATCATAGAAACCAGGAGCTTGAACGGTGAAGAGAGATCTCCTTTCGGCGGAGGAATGTGTTCAGCGATAGTTTCCATGAGGGGTGCCATGCTGCATTGGAAGCCAGCATCCTCACCCTTAGTGTATGTTCTCGACACCCATCCCATTTTTGCTGATGCATAAAGAACCGGAAATTCTAGTTGCGAATCAGTTGCACCAAGATTCGCAAACAAGTCAAAAATCATGCTTTCCACCTCTCCACAACGTTGCTCTGTAACCGATGGACGGTCCACTTTGTTAAGCAAGAGGATGGGTCTAATGCCGAGGTTGAGAGATTTGGCTACCACAAATTTCGTCTGGGCAAGTGGACCCTCTCCGGCATCCACAACGAGGACACATCCTTCCACCATTCCCACAACCCTCTCCACCTCACCTCCAAAATCAGCGTGCCCAGGAGTATCAACTACATTCATTTGCATTCCTCCCCAATAGACGGACGTGTACTTCGAAGAGATGGTAATCCCTCGCTCTCGCTCCAGGGTGATGGAGTCCATGGCGCGCTCGTGCGGGACATTGGCACCACACTCACGAAGTATACGGTCCAAAAGCGTAGTTTTCCCATGGTCAACATGCGCAATTATAGCAACATTTCGAATTTGGGACGGCTCGAGGACGTCATCTGTTTTCTCAATCTCGTGCGCGGCAGCTCCAGAAAAATGCTTTGAGACGTTGAAAGGATTCAGGAAACTTTGCCGCAAACTGTTCTGCAAAGCTAACCGGCCTGCCTGCCGGATGCCGCTGAAGCTCGTCAGCCTTGGCATCATGGTTGCCAATCCCTAGGCGGGCATTAGGGATTTCAATTATCTCGCCCCTATCAAAACGACGGGAAAAAAAAAAAAAAAAAAAAAAAAAAAAAAAAAAAAAAAAAACTTCGCAGCATCAGAAGAGATGTAATTCCAAAAAAGCAAAACTTCGTAAAATAATAAAAAATAACTGTTTTCTCTACCATCCACAACAGCAACCTACACCAACAAGGCAAATAGAAAAGTAAACATAAAAAACGAAACAAATCATCCTGTTTCTGATATTCCCTATCCGTGTTGGCCACTCTACTGCTCTCAAGCCGTAAACTGGTAGAGCACTAAAATGAAAATAAAAATAAAAATAAAAAAACCTGTCATAAACTTTAAAAATTAAGAATTCAAAACCCACGCCACTGCACAACGATGCAACGATCACGAAGACGGTGAAGTATTCATCCAAGCAAAAAAAAATCTCATTCGATACAACGCCGAAACAACACGAAGCCACACGCGCAAAACTTCAACGTCTCAGTAACTCATAAGATTCAATCTGCAAAGCAGCAATAGTAGAATTCGGAAAGGGTGGCAGAATCGACTCACCACAGCCGACTTCAGCTAAGGTATTTCAACACACACCACACTGCAGAGCCTCTCCGAGACTGCGATGGGTGGAGATTCTTGCAACCCGGTTCCCATCAATGTGAAAACCCCCGAAAGACTCAAAACCCTAAACCTAGAGATGACTACTTTTATCACACAGCCAAGCTGAAGAGTGGCCTTTGAGAGCTTTCAGCAACGTTTCAAGGACTTGGCTGCGGCCCCTCCGTCAACCTCCGGAGTCCAGCGATGGACCAAAAGCAAATCGGAATGGCAGAAAAAAGGGGGGTTTAAAGCTGCGCGGCGACAGGGCGCGCAACTGCAAAACCCCGAAAAGACAATAAAAATAATATATCAACTGCTCATCGTCTTCATGGCCTCGAAGATCGAAGCTTCTTCCCCTCGCTAATTCGTCCAAATGGATGAGTTCGTTGCTGTTGATGATTTCGAATTCATCCATATTGGATGAGCGGTGCTCGCCGATGAAAACATACCACTTGGGATGGATGATTCATTGGGTTTTTTCGGCTGATAATACTTCAATTAGTGTTGGTTTAATTATTCTGTAGATTGAAGATACATATGAGATGCATCCTCTCAAACTGAAAATATATATGATCATGCCAATATATTATTCTTATGTTTTATTTTAATGAAAATTTTATGATTTTATTGTTTAAAGCACTATTATAAGATTTTCACTATCAAAATACATAAAATCCATATGTTGATTCATTTATATTTATATGTTTACTGTAATTTGAGTCTCTTTTAAAACATCATTTTGAAACAACAAAGTATTTTAAGTCTTTTTCAAGTTTTACAAATATTATAATTACACTTAGGTTTAGTTAAGTTTTAATATTTGGTCTAAAACAAGTTAATACTTCTAATGTTGAAATAAGATATTTTTATTTTACTTTTGAAAAAATATCATATATATCCCTTGAGTATGTTGAAATATCAAGAATATCTTTTTATCCTTAATAATAGTAAATATACCCTCAAATATGATGTAATATTACTAATATAATAAAGACACAATAATTCTCATGGATTCTATTACTTTTTTGTATTCATATGGGGCCCAAACCATGCGCTTCCATAATGTCACATGCGATTAGGTCTTTGCTTGTATTTTTGGCATTTCACCTTCAGAGATTTTTGGCATCTAAAAATTTCTTTTTTAGAATAATATTCAAGCATCTAGCTCAAGCAACACTTTGTGTGCCACAATGCTTGCATCCTTTGAATTGTATGCTCTTAGGTGGTAACATTCTACTAACTCTCCAACCAATGACTTTGAATTGTTCAAGATGATATTAGAAGAAGAGAGATTTTTGAGAGTAGCTCAAAAATTAGGATAGATAGAGCAAGATTGATCTATCTTTATATGGTGTCTATAGATGTATAAAACATGTAGTGTGATCCAAATGGCTTATCAATGATTCTTGCAATAGTATTGGGCATTCATGTGGAAAACAAAGTGAGACATCTTTGGTGGTATTAAGCATTCTTGCATGTCTAATATTACAAATGACATGCCGCCCTTGAGGCAAGGGCATTAAGATGGATTAGTAGAACTTGAGGCAAGATGTTGAGCACAAAGATGTTGAACTTAGGTACTTTGGAATCATACATTGCAGGGTGCATGGTGGACACAAAGGTGGTATTGGCATAACAAGGTGATGGATGTGGGATAAGTTGGCAATAGGACTAAGATGTGAGATGGTGGAGCAACCAAGGTTTTGAAGACCAATGCATTCATCTAGTTGGCATTGACATATGGATTGTAAATTTGTCCAATTGTTAAAAGACAAATATTTATCATCCACAATACACCCAAATTTTTGAAAGCGTGCAGTTTAAAGGATGTGAAAATCGTAGCAAAAAAAAGTAATGCCATAGTCAGGCATTGGAATGCAATTTGAAGGATTCAACTACTAGAGTTGAGAAAGTGGTGCCTCAAGTAGGTGTTAGAATGCTATTATGATAAAGAAATTTTTAGATGTTGAAAATTTGCGAGATAAAATGCCAAAAAAGAGAACTAAGGTCTGATTGTACGTGATATGATGAAAACATGTAATTTGGACTCTATATGAAGATTAAAAAAAATAAAAAATAAAAAGTAATAGAATCCATGAGAATTATTGCAATTTTATCAAATTAGTGATATCTTATCATATTCAAGGATAGATTTGCTATTATAAAAAATGCCAAAGGTACATTTGCTATTATCAAAAATGTAGAATTATTCTTAATATTTTAGCATACTCAAAGGATATATATGATAATTTCTTTTTATTTTTTTCTTTGATTTCTCTTTTTCACACCATTGTTAATTGTTTACTTCATTATATATATATATATATATATATATATATATATCTTAAATTATGTAAAGTAAATTAATTTACTTCAATGGCCAAATTTCTTCTTTAATACATCAACTTTTTTAGACCATAAAAAATTGTAGCTAAATTTCATAAAATATTTCAAATAAAAAATCTATCATAGTATGCAAACTACCCTTCAAAAGAAATTTGTTGTTAATGTCTAGCTTTTGTTTTTTTATTCCATTGTAAGTTACTTTTTAAAAAGTTAATGTACTGATTATTTCATATGTTTGTTTTAACTTTAAAATGACATCAAACTCATGATTATATCCAAATGATTGAGTGCTGTAATCTTTAAGCAAAGGTTCAAAGTAAAGTTTTTCATCCTACTTGTTAAGGTGGTTGAAGTTCCAATCAGTTTTTTTTTCGCACTTCATCGTAATAGTTCATTTAATATTAAATCATATGAGATTTAGTAATAGCATATTTGAGCAACCCACCAAGTTCAACTGGAAAAGCGTTGAAACTCACAATATCACTCATGAAAATTATTATAAAAGCCTGAGATACTCAACTTTGGAAGCAGCTTCAAAAAGTACCATTCAATGGCTTCAGTAATGCTCAATTCATGTAAGCAAGCAACCTGCAATAGTAGTCAACTTCACACTGATGAGATTGATGCCAGTCACTCTATTTCTCTGAACCACTACTACAACCTTCAGAAATATTCAGGGAGACACTACTGTAGTGCTTCTCGAAGTAAGCTCCTCAGGGATCTCCGAACGGAAGAAGTGCCGATCCAGGTCAATTCAGGTTTGCACTGAAGGTTACGACGTTTTAAAACCTGCGGAGATTGATGGTTGAGAACACAGAGATGATGCCAGTGAGAAGTTATTCCGAGGTTTTAGGCTCAAATGGTTTAACTCCCAATTGAGCAGCCCAACTTGGACATGGAGTGACTACTGAAATTGGCTCTTTGGTAATAGGATGTCTAAATGCTAGACTCTCAGCGTGCAAGGCATGTGAATCATAACTTAAACCCTGCCAGACAAGAGGGCCCCCATACTTGACATCCCCGCACAAAGACAGGCCTAAATATTGGCAGTGTAACCGAATCTGATGAGTTCTTCCAGTTTCCGGAAATGCACGGACCACAGTCAGCTCCTGTGTCTCTCTTAAACTCCCATCTTCAACCTCATCCTTGCCAAGCCTTACCTCATCTTCTCTTCCAACCACAACCTCTACAAAGTCATGTTCGGGTGAAGGTTGCGGATCTTGTTTTAACGAATTAGTACCTGCAATAATTTCTACTCTAGTGACCATGTCTCTAACCGTAGATCCTCCTGGAAGACGCCTGCCAATATCGTGTTTGGCATAGACACGCCATGCGCCATATCTGGATCTGCCGTGTCCAGATTCGATCCTTGTCTTTCTCCACGTGGGCTTTGCCCGGGCACACTGAGCCAGATATGTCTTCTGAACCTCGCGATTGGTGAAAGCACGGGTGAGCTTTGCAGCCGCTTCCTTGCATTTAGTGATGACCATGATTCCACTTGTATCCCGATCTAGTCGATTCGCCATATGTAGATGTAATTGGGTTTCTCCTGCATACAAAGAGCGCTCAAATTTAAACAAAAACTATAATGAAAATTGCTGCGCAACTTCATGCAATTTGAGATTATGATTTACAGGAGCAAACAGCTGGAGGACTAAACAAACTAGAGTTGAGAAACAAACCACTTGAGCGACACAGGGATGGAATAGTTGCAAGCACATGCTCGCAGTATAATCCCCGGGGCTTGTTCACAATCATCAGCCAATCATCCTCAAACAACACACTTTCTTGCCCAATTGCCGGCCCAGCTTTCATTGCGGCCTCTGCAACTAAAGCTCTTTGAAGCTCTACTTCCTTCGAGAGCTCCCCTGCAAATGGTGAGAGGGGAATCGGATAATCCATCTCCTGCTCTTTCTCGAGCTCTTCATCGCAATCTCTTTCGACCATCGCTTGAGCAGTTACACGTGAAGTCATCCTTGTGGATAATGGTGAAAATATAGATTCCAAAGGTCCATTCCCAATTTGAGATTGGAGCTTCAAACGTAATGATAAGAATGTGCAAGTTCTTGGCAAACATGACGCATAAAACATGAGTGACTAATCACCGATTTCTGCACCCATTCCAGTAACACCCAGAATGGTGCTTCGTAAAGATCACAAGAAATGTTGTAACGATTAACTCTTATGCCTCAGTGTAAGCGTCTGAATTGAAGTGCTCATAATGTCAAATAAGAATTGAAAGAACAAGACTGGGGAAAGTAAATGAATGAAAGTCACAAGGTTACAGACAAACCTGTACCATACGTGAAACTAGTATTTCACTCATAGTTGAGATGATAAACATCTCAGGCAGGAATAAAGTCACACATTCATGTGGTGGTTGCTCGTCACCACCCTCGTCTGCCTCTTCTGCAAATAGTTCCAAATTTCTCAGTGTAAGTTTGACTCAATAATAGTAAACCACACCAGACTGTGCACCTCACAACCATTTTCACACAACTCAGCAAAGCCGTTAACAAGGTCCTAAAATGACATGAGAACCAGGATTCTTGTTCTTAATCAAAGATGATTTGATGGAATTCGCCTTCAAGGGCAGAGCCCGGCGTCTTGGCTTCCATTCACCATATAACACTGAATTTCGGCTATTAGAACCCTAATTAGGTAGCTCACCCTTATTTCAAACGAAATAAGTATCCAGCCAATTCTCAAAGGATCAAAGCCAGCTGAATGGCCTCAAATCCGCTGAGAATCCTGTAGCGTTGAAGACTACTTTAACTCCACACCAGTCGTTCAACCAGCATCGCGATAGCAAACAGATTAAGACTTGACTATGAACTCTTCCCTCGTGTTATAACCCAACAAAAATTTGTCCAACCTTTTCATGAATTCAACAAGGTCAGAAATTTTTCCACAAAACAAGATCCCACTGAAGCAATAAACTGAGCTCTATAATTATGAGGACAAGGCCATTTTCTGTGGAAAAAGTAGATACTCACCGTTCTGAAGCTTGTTGAATGATTCGTGTAATGCTAAGAAAGTCCCGAAGGGCTGGCAGAGCTAGAAAATAGTGGTTTAAAAGCGATTAAAAATTCTGCAGCTAGTCGGATAAGCGCAGAGAGGCGTAAATAGCAGAGAAATCGTAGGAATCCAAGTGAGGGCGTTGGAGACCGCATCGACAATCTCTGATGCACCAAACTACACTGAAGAGCTGTCGGAGAAACAAAAGCCTCGTCTCCTCGTGTTCAAACACACAGCAAAAAAGACTGCCCCAGGTTATCAACTTGCGGTGGAGGTGGACACGGGTATATGCAGCTCACAAGCCCGTCTTCACCTTCTCCAAGAACGCAAATCTATTTAATGTATAGTTTTAAAATTGTATTTTTTTTTCTTTTTTTCATTCACTCTTAATGTAGATAAATAAAATAAAATGAAATGAAATAAAAAATCTAGACTTTTTCGCAGTTTTACACATGTAATGATGATGTGATCAATAGCAATATTTTCTATAAAATCATCAATTTCATATTGGTAATAATATTTTTTAAAATATTTTTGTAACAATATTTGAATTTTATTTTAAAATTTTAGAGAAAACCTGATAAAATAAAGCACCCACGTAGAGATCACTCAAATTTGCCAATATTAGCAGTACAAAGCATTCAACTTGAAAATCTTTAAAATACTTGTAAATGTTTTTAAGATAAGGAAAAACAATCACTTTGTATGTCAATTCTCTCAAGCCCAAAAGCACATCCTTTAGGAAAAATTCAACCCCCTCAATTTTGCAAGAAATTGCTACATAGTATAAACATTTAACTTTGACCCACAAGCAGGATCCATATTTTTGTGGTTTGAATTATAATACATGTATGATTTGAAGCACTAAAAAGTGTTCAAAGTTACACTTGATTATGTCACGAGTTATTTCTAATTAGTACAATTCAATGCAAAAATCATACAAAAAAATAATATTAATAATCATCTTAGTAAATCAGATTTTTCTTTGTTTGTATTCAATTTTCTTTTTATTTTTCTTTTTCTTTGTTTAAATCTTTGTATTTGGTTTAAAAAGTATGAGATTTTTTTATCTCAAATAAAAGTAGAATGAAAGCTTTGATGTAATAGATTGTATCCCCTAAATAGATTTATTATGTTAATATTTTTTGCTAAAATTTTGATAGATTTTTTTTTAAATGATTATATGTTTTTAACTTGCTACTTAAATTATATAATATAAAGAGTAAAAGAATATCATACATAAAATATTAAAAAAATTTCAATTTTATAAAAAAGATTTACGACTACAAAACAACTATAGTTGAATATCATAGGATATGAAAGTAATATACCTTGAACATTGTTATCAATGTATTTAGTTTACACTTAATGAAAATAAATATATATATATATATATATATATATATAATTTTTAAATTTGATAATATCTTGTATAAATATAATAATGGAGCAAAATAATAAAATTTATTGTATAATATAAAATATGTAAGTTTTAAAATTTCTCAAAAAATCTTGTGAATTATTTGTAAGCAATGTGTAAATAGATCCTACAAAAAAAAGGTACATGTGTTAATATGTTAAATAAGATTCATTGCACACAAACATTGGCATAAATGTGAATAACAATTGAAAAACCATTTGCAAAACAAGGCAATAAAAGTAATAGAAAGAAATAATTAAATAGATGAAAATAAATAAATAAATAGAATGTGTATTCAATGTAAAAGCTCTGTGCTAAAATGTGTTACATACTTTATAGCCACATGTAAATCTTCAATATTACAAGTAACAGTGTTTAGTTAGTAACAAAATGGAGTTTTAAAAATGATACAAAGTTTAAGTAGTGTTGTACAAAACAAATTGTCCAATTATTATGAAACACTACAGTTCTACTGTGCAATTCTGCAACTATATTCCTTACAGTTGAATGCAATATCAATCCAAAGTAAGATGTGCAAGGTGCAATGCTACCTACATTCAATATTCTCTTGAAATAACAATTTGGCAGGGTGTTGGAGTTAAAACTAGAGCCGATTTAGGAGCAGTCAAATTTGGGTGGTTTACTCTAGTCGACTCCACTCAACTTTTACTTCAGTTATCAATTCAGGAGCAGTCAAAGTTCAAGTTTGTGGGTCACTTCTCTCATACGTCGCAAACTACATTCATGAATGGGTTGCTGTATTCTTGCAACAGTTAGTTTAACTTCACACTGCATGAAGATATTGCGTCTGTATGTAGGTCAGTACATACACTAACTGAAGGTGAGGAGGGTCCATTGAGAACTAGAAGTGGCTGTGGTATGCAGAAAGCTGTTTCAGATCAGAAGTAATAGGTTCTTCATTCCTTGTAGGCTCGATCTGATATGGTCCAGATTCTCTGTACCCAACTCTTTCCTCTGAGGGATTAATGTCATATCAGAATCAAATGGGTGCAGAGAACCTGGACTAGTTGCAGCACTTAACTATTACATGAGCGCAGGTGGGGGATATCTGTCACCGACACACGTCACCGGCGAAGAATCTCCCGTTGATTGATTGAAAGAAATTATCTGCCACAATGCTTAGATACGGTACTGAACAAAGATCACGTTACTTCGGAAGAGAGATTTCGTCACAGCTTAGAATTTTGTAACACCGATGCGAGGTTAAACCAGTCATACATTTGTTCTGTTGACACTTTTGTAAGAGAACTTTTAAGCCGCTTAGACGAAGTTAAATATTATCAAATAAACAAACATCTACAACACAAGATACAATCATGTCGATTGGAATTACAGTTACAGCAGGATTGAAAAAGCTTGAGTCACACCAAAACGCAATAGATTTATTAGGCATCTCACAAAAAATCGTTTTCATGAATTTACGAATTTTTCAAAGGGCACACGCTGACGCGCCTCTTCGAATGCAGTCCATGAATGCCTACACTAACTCTAATTGATAAAGTGTTTCCCAAGAACCGCAGATTCAACACTCATATGAACACCAACAATCACGCGTTTGGATACTATGCAAAACTCTATAGATAACTATCATGGTCTAATACAGTAGATAATGTGGGGTACAAAACTGACTGGGCCTGCTCATTTGCTTAAGATGAGACAAGCAGCAGTAATTCCCTACAGCTTCAACTGGAGAGTTTCTGCAAGCCTCACGGAGCCCGCTAAATTCAAAATTGTCGTATGCGCACCACCCCTGACCGAATAAGTCATAGTATCGATAATTAACTCTCAACCAGTTAAATAAAGTATCATACAAAGTGATTGAACATCCACATCATGTAAACAACGATGGGTGAAGCACGGCCGGAAGTCTAGCAGGCATTCTGGTCAACTCCCTAGGTGGGGTGTATGACATGTGATCCAAGAATGATTCAACCAAATCCGGGCCATGAAAGCTTCCATTGTCATCGCGGAATCTGTCGACATCGAACCCTCTGGTGGTGACAATGTCAGATCTTCCATGCCTGTCCCTGAACTCATCGTTACCCATGTCGTCCTCAAACATGAAACCATGGTCGACAGTTCCCATAATTGATGATGCAACAGCCATGTCATGCATATCCTGCATATCAGAAAGAGAATCGTCTTCCCACGAAGAAGTTGGCTCAGAAAACGTCTGATTCACGAAGTCATCATCCTCGTCAGAATACTCTTCAATAATTTCAGGAGGCTCAACCATAGCCCACTGAATGAAATGGGGCCGTATAAACCTGTCTGATTCCCTGAGTAGGTAGGGGTCGAACGGGAAAAACATGTCCAGTCTCCCTTCACCACCGAAGGAACCAGCAGATTGTACAGCCGTCGCGTCCCTGGTGTTCGACCACTGCCTGCAATCCACAAGTTGTGCAATGCTGGCTTGCTTTACAAATTCGTCAACCACAGATGGTAAACAAACTTTCAGAGGTTTTAAATGATGTTCCACCAACTCCTGAAGAGGTAGGGTCCGAAGAACACGTTTGAGCCGTTGATCCTCAGTCAAATCCTTCAATCGGAAACAGAGAACATACATTACAGCTTGGCATGCACAATAAAATACTCCATGCAAAACTGGATCGGCAGTTGTCATTGTCGGATTTCTTCGATCTTGAGCCAACTGAGCATACGACACACACCAATCCAACAACCGCCTCACAGATTCAACTACAACGGTCAACGGGAGGTACCCTGCTCTAGCAAGGTAGCTTGCCAAGTACGCAGCAGCAGACATCCGAGTGTTCGGAGGCCGGGTCTTGGATTCGAAAATGTCACAAAGAAGAGATGCAAATGTGTTTCCACAGGTTGAGGGAGCAAGTGAACAGAGGTAAAAAATAAGAAATTGCGTGAACTTAGACTTGTAGGTGTCCAGAATTGTTGTTTGAAACGACCTCATTAAAGTCTCAAACACTAAATCTCCGTGACCATTTTGAACACAGGTATGGAGGTGATCAAGAGTCATATCCATAATCAGGTCCATCTTATCGGCCATTTCATCCAAGGTTGGTAATACTCCGTTAAGGACAGACCTATTCCCAGCTGCTTGAATCTGTTGCTTAGCTTCACAGCCAGGTCCAGAAGAATCGACAACAGAGAAACCTTCGTCAGCATCGTTAGCTCCAAATAAGTCATCATCTTCAAGGTTCATGTGAAACATGAAAACTTTACTACTGTCCTCCTCTCTCAATATATCCTCCCATCTGATCTCCACGTCAATCTCGATGAGACGGTCAACAATAAGTGACAGCATCTGCCCTCCAAGTGCACTGCTCAAGGAACTACTTTCCAACCTCAGCATATTCTCTACGTAGAGAGCCAGCCACTGCTTGTCACATGTCCTGTGAGGCATTCTCTGTACGACAATATGCTGCAGCCGAAAAGCGGCAGTGGGAACAAGATCCACAGTTCGAACAAGAGCAGAATGGAGACGTTCCAAGACCTGCGAAAGCAACCCTAGGCTGTCAATGAACGTGTAGTGCAATCAGAAATACAAATTCTTGCATCACGATCAAACCCAGCATGCCACTCGCAGAGTACACAAATGAAACCACCCACACACCCTCACCTTGTCCTTCTTCGCGAGATGCTCAGCACCTTGGGACTTCAGCTTGTCCATGGTAGTGATCCCCATCATCAATCCGGTTCTGCTGAACGAGTCAAAGAACGAAGGGAGTCCACATGAAGGGGGCAAAAAATTCCGCACCAACATATCCAAGCAATCAGGCACAAAGCAGCCATTGGCAGTCGACAAATTAACTACAAAAGACAGAAGCGCGTCCACCACTTCATAACTGTAAGTCCAAATGCTCATCCCAAGCAGGTACTGCAAGAGAGTCCTGTGGGAGCGTTCGTTCAAGTACGACACAGTCTGCGAAAGCGCGTTAATCCGAACGGCCAGCTCGGGCGCACCGTCGTCTAAGTGCAGCCGAGGGTCACGCACGGTTTCGCAGAGGTGCATGTAATGCCCCTTATCAACACCATCTGAGCCAGACTTGAGCGCTTTCAACACCCAGCCGCGGGCTACGATCATAACCTCCTCCTCGGTTAAAGCCTGGTAATCACTGAGTTGGTTTTGCTGCTGCGGCAGCTCGCCTTTCGCAGCCGTCATGGCTGCACCAGCACTACCCGTCTACCGCAACCCCAGAACAGCAACGCAGCACGCCCCCAGCCCAATTCCAACTCCTCCAAGGCTGTATAATACGTCGCAACAACACCAAGTTGGTAGAAATCCCGAACCTGCAGAAGCTCATCAAGCCGCACTTCTCCAACTCACTCAACTCTACAAAGCGGAATCCCTCAAAACCCCAAAACCTCGCGTCGTCGACGCATCAACTGTGAAAGCCAATGCTCTAACTCCAGAGCTCTAACTCCAGAGCTCTCAGCCAGCGGCGGCTACCGATCTCCACTACAACCAAAAAAAGCCTTCTCAGCGCCAGCGTTTTAGGGTTTTGCCATAGCGACCCCAACAATCTGACGCATCCCCCCTCGTCCGATTCTCGATCGCACGGTCGCTGCTTGGTAGGCTCGCGAACGCTGTTCCCTCCCGTTCCCATGTCCTCCTGCTTATCTCGAACTGGAGCCTTCAGTTCCTAGACAGAACCTCGCGGATGGGGTGAACTAGGTTAGGAACCAGGTTCGGTAGAATCCCTCTGATACCATTTACACGTACATGGGCAAGGTTCTCTATAAAGTTAAGTGACGAGGAAAAGTTTCATTGAATATTCATCACCTCCTCAATGAATCTGCGTATCCAAGGTTAGATTCTGGCCACAAGTGAACCTTGTGCATTTATAACTGATATAGTGGGGCGTATTGTGCCAATCAAAAACCATATTAGTAGATAGAATTTTGTGAAAAATGTATTGATTATTTGTTTCAAATTACAATCTTTCAATGCGACATCTTTACGGTATTATTGACTACCCAATTTTGGTATTCTGTAAATGTAAGATTGTGTCATTGAAATTCATGACGGTAAAAGTAAATGATGGTTGCTTGTTTGGTTCCAAACTTGTCAAATAGTATCCTTCTAAATGTCCATGAGATTTTTTATGTTGTTTGGATAATATAATGGAGTGTGTGTTTTGGAAAAACAAAAAATAAGTCTATGGTGCCCAGCTTTAGTGATTTGCACAAATGAATCAAAATAGAAGTGTATAAATTAATGATCAAGTGCATGTTATCAACACATCAACAGCTTAATCTTTGACAGATGATTTTTTTTTTTTTTTTTGAATGTAGATTACGTGTCAAATGTTAAATAAAAACAATTGCACAAATAACAAAACTTTACATGAATAAATACCATACCAAAACAGATAAAAATATAATTCATTTAAGAATTTTCAGCATTTTGTTAAAGTATTCAACTATCTCTCCAAACATTTACAATTCCCATATTTTATTTATGTATATATGTACTTGTTCTGTACATAAATAAAATATGGGAATTTTTTTATCAATATTTCATAGTCCAAAATACTACATGGTACATTACTAAGAATGTATGATAGTTATAACAATTTACATAGAAAATACTGGCATAAAAATACATGTTTACAAGAAATATTTACAAGAAGAGCAGCAAAAAATAGTACAGATTAGCATCACATGAAGTACGCTATAGAGAATATACTTTGAAATTAACTGAACTTTCTTAAAACACTTAACTTTGACATGACTCTCCTTAACTTGTAGCTTGTAATCAATTAATTATTGCAATGGTGCAAAACACAATTCCACCCTAAGTTTTGAAAGCATAGTATATTAATTTTGGATTTCAAATTAATGGATGAAAGTGGTCACTTGAAATGATTCTTATACATATACAGTGATCTCAAATGTTAGTTACGATAGTATGAATATACATTCTTTTTCATTGCTATTCTTTTTATGAAAAATCTCATCAATTGGGTTGATAAATGAAATGAGCAAATTTCTGTTGCATCCTCTAATAATTTCCTTGAAAAACTCCTGAGTTAAGCAATTTTGAATAGATGCTACATAGTTTTGATGTATAATAATATTTAGATGGTTGTATATTCTGTAGAGTACAAGCCTGTTCAAAAAGATTTTAACATTTCAAAAAACATTCTAGTAGCAACAAGATTTGAGTTTATTAGTAGAAAAATAATGTAGGTTATTAAATAATGAAAAATTCACACAACAAGTTAAACTCCAATATTCATTAGAAATCTAACATATTAGATTTTTAAACCTAACATGTATTTGAAACCTTCTTTTGTAATGTTGTAATAAATCTTGATAAACTAATATTACTAAAGAGTTTCACTTTGAACACTATGATTTGTTCATTTACATGCTAAAATCGTCCTAATATACTCATGAAGTTTGATATTTTGAGTTGAAGTGATTATGTATATATATATATATATATATATACGAAGAAAGTTAAACATGAATGAAGAAAATTATTGATGTAGGATTACATCTGAAGCCAACATCATCACAGAGAGCAAACACACATCATTATAAAATGTATCAGTATGGTAATGGAATTTTCAAAAAAAAAGAAAAAAAGAAAACAAAAGAAGTTTGGGGTCTATCACCATAAAGAATAAACCATGCATGTACACAATTTTTAAATCATTATTTTTATTTAAATCTGCAGTCGGCTTGTTATTATTATTTTTGATAGACTATGGTTCAGGGTTGGAGAACTTGTGATCCAATTTTAATTTTTCAACAAATTTAGTTACGGAAGTAATCAAATTTAGCATTACAAATCTTGAACTATTCTTGAATTGCATTCATTGGATCTACATTGTCTCAAATTCATTAATCTCAGTGGTTTACTGTTATAATTTATTTTAGATGTTTTGATTTATGTAACTGCATGAAACTTGGTACATTTTATGAAAAGATGATGTGATTTGTCCAAAAACCAATACTTTTTGTCACTGACTATATATTGATATAGAATATTAACAGTTTCTAATAATGTCAAACAATACAATTATCTATTTGTACTCCACTACCTTTTGTACTAAAATAAGAATTAAATAAATACATCCTGAATCAGTCTCATCTTCTTATTTTAATGTTTGCAAAGCACAAAAGAAAAAGAACTCATGAAAAAACATCAAGTTGGATTAAGGGTAATTGGATTGGAATCTTTAAAAATGCATGCCTAAGTTTTTATGTTTCATATCTCTTTTCATTTTCAACCATTTCAATACACAAGAGGTTCTCAAAGCAAGAAATAAATAAATATTGTCATATTGTCTATTTCTACCTTTGTAACTAACCTCACTAACCTCACATCCAAATTCCTTGCTCTTCATTCAAGTTGCTCTATTATAGCCCTTCTTAGAAATTCCATTCTGTACCACTTTCATCCCTTGAAGAATTTGTATATTATTGGGTACAAAATTGAGGGATTAGGAAGAGAGTGCAAAACACCTAAGCTATGCAAGAGTATAGCAAAGTTAAGACAAGTAGGTCATTTTTAGTTTTTGGTAAGTAGATTCAACACACACACACACACACATATATATATATATATATATATATATATATATATAATTTCAATTATTGTTGTTAAAAAGATAGATGGTTCTATAGAATTATGCTTGTTGGTATAAATATTAATTGTGTATTTAATGTTTTTTATTTTAAGAAATATATATATATATATATATATATATAATATTCTACAATAATATTGGGTGACATCAATATATTAATTTAAATTGACTAAAATGTATTATAGAATCAAAATGAAAAATATTGAAATTTTACTTGGAGCTTAAAAGAATAGTTCAAACTTATCACTCGATGTTCATAGAAGTAAGTTCAGGGTCCTCTTTAGTTTTTTCTGAACTATTTCATTTTAAATAAATTTTACTATATGAGCTACAAGTCTTTCAATATATAGCTGTAGATCTATTTGGCTTTTGAGTGATCTCCTCACAGTCAATAATTCCTACCAACTTTCTCATCTTGTATAAATTTTCCAGTTTTGTTTTCGTCAATATTCTCCCACAGATAGAACCACGTGATAAATATACAAGTTGTCGCATATAATCAAGACATACTTCATTTAGAGTACACAAATAAACAGTACAATTTCAAATATAATCACGATTAATAAACTAACAGTGGGAAGCTATTACTTTTATATACATTTATCTGGTCGCAACATTTGATAAGCTTTTCAATGTTGCAAAAAACGAATTTCACATCCGATGTACTAAAAATAAGACAGAACAAGAAGGAACAGGGCGGAGGCGCCGTGTGAACAGAGACCAAGCAAGGGCTACCCTGGGCCCGGTTCACACCTGTAACGTCCTTCGGGAGGAAGTAGAGCGGTCTTCGTCTTCTTCGTGTTGGGCTCTGGCATTGTGCGTGGGCCTGGCTGGGACTGTGCCATAGCCATCGCCAGTGCTGTTGTTAGCGTAGACGAGAGTCTCTCTGTGCGGATCCCTCACTCTCGCACTCTTCCGCTGCAGCTGCTGGTGCGGACCATGGATGCCACCGCTGCCTTGCCGACTTCGCCCTCCGCAACCAAGGGTGCGCTTATGCTCTCTTGCTAATTTCAACGATTCGGGGTTTAGGGTTTATACCTGCGTGTTGGTTGTTGTCTCGCAAGTAGGGTGCAATTAGTGCCGCGGTAGGTTCTCGGAGTCGAATTTGGTTTGTATACTGACGTGAGTGCTCGTGTGGTGTTGCAGGTGTTTCGTTGCGATTAGTGCAAGAGTTGGAAGGGCACGAGGATAGGTACCTGTCGCCATTTACGTGTTGATAGCGTGCTTTACTCTTCCGATTTTCTTAATTTTGGAAAGCTTCGATCGAGCTTTATTTATTTATTTATTTATTTTTATTTTTATTTTTTTAGGTTATTTTGTTTTGATTTTGATCTTGATTTTTTGGAGGGAAGTCATCGTTGAAGTTTGTGTGTTGAACTGTATGGACCAGGGTGTGGGGTGTTGCTTGGAGACCGTGCGATGGTTCGTCGATCCTAGCGTCATGTAGTGGGGATCAAACGGTCCGCATATGGGAGCATTCTTCTGGGAGCTCACCTTCTTCAGCTGCTTGGGTTTGCAAAGTCTCTTTTATATTGCCCCCCTTCTCTGGAAGTCATCTATGTCTGATTCTTACTTGTTGCGAATTCTCTTCACACTGCTTGAAATTGAGCATTTCCGGACAATTTTGCAATCAGAAGTTTTATGTAAAATGTTGTTTCAAGGCCTTTTATTTATTTATTTATTTTTTATTTTATTATCGTGACTTGGGGGCTGTTGTTGCATAGGCAGTCCTGGACTCATCTCATAATCGCACAGTGCGGCAAATTTCGTGGTCGCCGAATGGCAACTTGCTAGCATCTGCAAGTTTTGATGCCACGATTGGCATGTGGGAGTACGTTGGCAATGAATTCTCATTTATAGCTTCTTTTGAGGTAAGCTTCGAGCATATTTCTTCTGAGACCACCTTTCATTTGAATGCGAGTTCAAGAGATGAATTTGCCTCGACAAATTGTAGGCTTCAGCTAGTCCCATTTTTAATAGTTGCTTTGGTGCAAGGTACGTGCTCTGTGGTCACAATTTACATAATCGCAGTCATTGTTCTTATTCGCGATTCCACCCCATATTGTGACAGGGACATGAAAATGAGGTGAAAAGCGTGGCATGGAACTCAGCAGGCACTCTACTGGCAACTTGCAGTCGAGATAAGTCTGTCTGGATTTGGGAGGTGCTTCCTGGACACGAGTTTGAGTGTGTGTCAGTACTTAACGGGCACACCCAGGATGTCAAGATGGTTCTATGGCATCCATCTCTGGATATATTGGTATCCACCAGCTACGACAACACCATCAAGGTACTTTTCGGTCACTAAAGTGATATAAATCAATATTCCTACTTGGTTTACTAGGAAACACATCAACATGGCACTCAGTGTTTGTCTAGAGTTAAGCTGGGAAATGTATCAAATATTCAATAGATGATACAAAGAGTCAGTGGGGGAAATGCTCTTGGTCTAGCTTGCAGCGCTTGTGGAATCTAGAAGCCAACCTTGCCTGTACAGATATGGACAGAAGAAGGCGACGGTGATGATTGGCATTGCGCGCAAACCCTGGGACCTCCTGGCAGGTACATCTTTGCTTAAATCGGGTATCATCGACTTTCTATCTCAATCTTGTAGTAACAGTAAGAGCCTGGTTGTTGTGGGAAATCCAAGGGCGGCTACTACATCGTTTCACTATAACCTTTCGGTTGCTGCCAGCATTATTGTCCGACATATATAAGATACCTCTAGGCTAGCAGAAGGTGATTGTGAGCAATTTATTCACTCTCTTCCGCACAATCTGTGCTTAAGTCGGCTTTTCATCTCATGTGTTTTTTTCGCAGCGGTCATACTTCAACTGTGTGGGCTGCTTCATTTAATGCCACAGGAGATTGCATGGTGACATGCAGGTGCTGAATTTCTCCTCATCGATATATTTATAGCCTTCTAATGTCGTGTTCATGAATGCCACTTGTATGTTTTAATCAAAACTTGATATGGAAGCAGTGCATGGTCCAAGTCAACGCATCGTTCCATATCCATCAGTTTGGGCTAATTTACTTTTTTTTCTTCTTGCATGGCAGTGATGATTTGACCCTAAATATATGGGACTCAAGTGCAGATCTTTCAAGTGCTAATGATGACGACTCGGCTAAATGGTATACTCTAGAGTCTTCAGCGTTGTCTCACGGAATTCTAGTTTGACCATACTTGGCTTCACAAGGAAAACATAAGAAGTCACAGTATGATTGTTCTCCCTAAAATTTTGAGATTTGATAGAGTCAGGGAGTGAACTGGTGTATTATTCCTTGCTATTCAGTGTGGTTTTGCAATGTAATTGCAGGAAGCATCTGGCTACCATCTCGGGATACCACGACCGAACCATCTATTCAGTGAACTGGTCCAGGTATAACAGCGGTTCTGCAATAGAAAAGCGGTGGGATTTTGATTGAATACTGTGAAAGTCGTGCATTTATTTAGTAGTCTTTGCAGACGTTTCGAACATGTATTAGAGTGTGGAGGTTTTGCATTAATATTAAACATTAATTTGCATTTTGCAGCCTGAATGACCTTATTGCTAGCGGAGCAGGAGATGATTGTATTCGCATCTTCTCTAAATCTCAAGATGGCGACCAAGAAGGAAGTCAATCATACGAGTTAGTGCAGAAGCATGAAAAAGCTCATACAGCTGATGTCAACTGCGTGCAATGGCACCCTAAGGTAATAGGATGTGATGTATTTATAGATTATAGTTCAATTTGTGGCTCTAACGATTTATGTTACTTTTTAGGTTCCTTCTTTTTGTTCTAGATAAAATCGATGTTTCTTGCGATGATTATTTTCAACGAGAACCAGCTTGGTGTTTCTGATTTTTTGTTTTAAATTTTTTGCTGCAGAATCCGCGTTTGCTGGCATCAGCAGGTGACGATGGGATCGTGAAAATTTGGGAGGTGGTAGGAGATCTTCCACATGTTTAGTTTGCTACGAATCCGTAACAAGTCTTGTACATGATGTGGAGAGTAAATGACTATCATAAACTCCTGTAATTTCTATTATAGAATTATTGAATTTCTCCTCGGTCATAGCTGGAACTAGCTAGCTTAAGTGGTGAATGCTTCAAGTTACCAATGGTAGTCAGTGACGCATCAGCCACGAGCTGGTGGATATGCAGTCAAATAAGTTGGTAGTCATCAATAGTTTTCGTTGTATTTGGTCCACAGTTTTCTCTGAAATCGTGTGTTCTTTATCCGCTTCTCCATCCAGTTAGCTTCACTGCATATCCATTTTATCAGTTGATCAGGTCTTTTTTCGAACTTTTTGGTTCCTTACCTTTTGATAGACGTGTGGTAGCAAGTAGGATGTAAATGGACTCATTTTCTGCTTTCTCTAGTCTCTAGCATGAGAGCAGGATATCTGGCTGTGGCTTGGGAGAAAATTGAATGTAAATGTCGATTAACATGCGATCAAGTTAAATGTCGTTAAAGTTAATTTTTTGGTAAGTTTCATTTTTTTCAAATTGATGGAGGAACCTATTGATTGGTGTACATCATTTTTCTATAAAATTGTTTCTCGAATTGATAGAAGAATTGCATTCTGTAGTGAATCTACTAGTGGTGGTTTCAATATATATTGCCCTTACCAACACGTTCTTGGTTGAAAATGACAAATACTAAAATATTATTGCATTCATATATGATGTTTCATTTGGTACTTATCGTTGTTATACAGGTATTAGTAGTAAGCAGGAAGGCGCTGGAAAATATAATTTATGAAATTATCCTTAATTTAAAATTGGATTACATTTAATACATTTAATTTTACATGTTGTAAATGATTTATTTTAATGGATCTTAGATTTAAATTTTGTCTTTAAATTTCAATTGTCTAAAATTTGTATATAATATGTATAAAAAAGATGTGCATCCAATCAATACATAGATTTACAAATTTTGTAGTTTTCTTCAAATTGAAATAGTGGCTTTATAAAATTAATAATGTTGGTTCATTAATTAATAATAAACATTTAAGAAAAATAGTGAATTCAAAAAAAATCAGCTTGATTGTGGATTGGTTATTATTATATAAGGAGAAATTGTTCTACATCTCTAATACAAGGTTTTTGTTGTTGTTGCCTACAGAGGGCAAAGAAGACATAGGCTAAATACTTTATAGTTTAGTGAGTAGCATTCTCAACCAAATTCCTTTTAAAGTTTCTATAGAGAGACTTATATACTTAACTTCCATTGACGATTTTGCTATTGTATGTTGCCTCTTGCTTTGCCAAGTGATTGTTGCCTTGGCTATTGTAAAATAGTAACATCCTATAGACATACAAGTTTCTAGGCAAGATGCTTTGTCAACATTTGTATAGCCTAGTATATTGTCTTTTGCTTTTTAATTGATAGTATAGTCCAAAGTCCATAGTATCCTTGATATATTGAAGTATGTGTTTCACAACTTTTAAATGTGGTGTCTATGGTTTTGTCATATATTTCAAGATGCTACTAATAGCAAATGATAAGTTAAATCATGTAGTTGTGAAGAAGACTAATTTTCCAATTGTACAACAATTTTTGTAAGAATCCATTGATAAAGCTCTCATGTCAATAAAAAATAGTAAGCTAAAGAATAATAGTACATATTCTCTTTGAGAGTTAATGATTTTGAATTCTTCTACCATCTCTTTTGCTTATTGTAATTGTAATAGGAATAAATTAGTGTTAAATATTGTGAATTTTGTATCTACGTACTTATTGATGAGGCGTAAGTCACTTATATCAAATTCAAAGGTTAGTTGTTTTAACCATAAATTTTTGTTGTTATCTTCTCTTGTTAGAAAATGATTGTCTACATAGGCTATAAGTATGGTCTTGTTATTGCTTTTATTAATATAGTATAGATTATGATCACTTGAACTTTTAATCATATCTAAAGTTTTTAAATAAATGTCTAGTCTCTTCTACTACATCATTAGGCTTTGGTGTAAGCCATATAAGGATTTTTTGAGCTTGCGTACTAGATGTTTAAGTCATTTTTTAATGAATTCTAAGAATTTTTCTATATATACTTCGTGTGATAGGTTGCTGTAGAATAGATATTAGTTCGTTTTTATAAGATATTGATAAAATAGACTAATAGTCCGTAGAATAGTCAGTTCAGGAGGACGGATGGTTAACTTAGTCATTAAAAGCGGTTAATTACAGGATTACGGATAGAATCTAGGAATAGAGAGTAAGTATATAGGAGTTATAGAAGTTAGTCTGAGTGCCAGACTGTGAGAGTCATGAGCCGGGGTAAGCTTGGTGCTACCTCTTTGTTTCTTTGTTATTGAAGAGTAATGAATAGTTTCTAAATGCTATGAAGTAAATCTGTGGAATAAATCAGAGATTGATTTATGAGTTATTGATTATGTAATTGGAGTACTGTGTGGTTGGATTATTATGAGAAGATATTGGAAGTTTGTTATCAGATTCTGTGGAAGATTGTTAATGGATGGAAGATTTTGATTATTGTTTATTGAGAGTTGTGTATGTTTTGACAGAAGAAGTTTGTGATTATAGAAATTATGTGAAGATAGATTGTTTGGAGTGGAAGTTTGTTATTTTTGTGTTGGATGGAATTTATGTATTTGGAGTGGTCTTTTAAGACAATGCAAGAATTGTCCTATGTTGTTATCAATGATCGCAGAATACCATTGGAAAGTGGAAAGCATTGTAGTATTCTTTGGTGTTTTCAGTGATTCTAAATACAATTAACTGTGTGACCCTAATAAGTAGAACTCATTTACTTCGTCTTTCCATGCATTCAAATCCCCCTATATAGGTTTATTCTGAAAGGAATTTATAAAATAAGTAAACGACAATTACGTTTTGGCACCGCTGCCAAGGATTGAGAATAGCATTGAGTATTAGGAATTAACTGCACGATGAATAGATAGAAAATAAGAAGCAAACTCAATAGAATATAATGACAAAGTATGGTTATTGAGAGTGAGAACTTAACAGTAAAGAGAATATGGCAGTCAAAAGAAAGAATAGAGAGATCGCAAGTAAGAAATTTGTTATATAACGAGCAAGAACAAAAGTTAAAAAAGAAACATCAACAGAGTTGGATTAAGCCATGGTTGCATGCATGTCGACACATCCAAGTGTACCGAGAAGCCAATTGACATTTAATATTTTAGAAGTATGTACCATTAGAAAAATTGCCAAGAGCACTCGTCGAAAAATGGATCAATAGACCAGTGTTTCATGTGAGGCCATTAACTGCGAGAGGGAGGAATCACAAAAGAATTGGGTACTCTCTTGGATACGTTTTCAATAACGAAAGCTACCGATTCCATCAAAATTGATTCTATAGAGTGGCATACATTACTAGTCAATAAGGGCCAATTCAGAGTATTTCAAAATCCATTGTTTTCACCCCCAATTCAACCAAATAACTTATTAGGGGATAATAATAGCAAATTGAAGAAACTTAAAAGTTTAGAATAATCAATTGGAGAAGACGCTAGTTATTTTAACAAAAAATTAAGTGGTACATTGTTTTCATCAATGGCGACGAGTGGTCCAACAGTTCCAATACTAGTTCAATTGGGTGATTTGAGCAATCGCATAACGAGCGTGGCTCCATTACCTACTTTTAGGGGCTTGCCAGGTGCAAATTCAGATCAACATTTGTCTTAGTTTCTGATAGCATGTGTAGCCAACAATGGAAGAAGTGAAGATATTTGGTTACGATGGTTGCCAGCAACCTTAAAGGACACGGCGTTTGAATGGTACAACTGCCAACTAGTGGATCAATTTTTAAATTAGGAAGCATTGAAGAATACATTTTTAATCCATTTTCGGCCAATTGGTTTTGAAGATCGCCTTCAAGAGAGATTAATGAACAACAAAATGATCCTAGAAGAGGCGATGGAATCGTATTATGGCCGGATGGCCGATATACTCAATAAGTGGCCAAATCACCAAATGTCAGAGGTATTTATCTTATCCATATTAATCAATGCTTTATATCCAATATAGCTAAAAATGTTTGTAAAGGAAGCTCAATCCGATACAATGTCTGCATCCTTTAATAGAGCCAAGGTTTGGGAAGAATGTCATTATGATTAGTTTTTATCTACAGGAGCGATGATGATTCTAGTTCAAGGCAATTATCAAAATCCAACTTGAAGTGGATCAGAGGATAGTTATCCATAGAGGTTAGATATAGGGGCCAATTCCAATGCGAATATTCAGGGACCAGTTACTATCACCCCATTGCAAGCTATGCCATCGAATGTGATAATAATATATGCTCCTTATTTTTTGTATCAACAACAAGTGTTAACTATGGCAGAGTTACCAATAATATAAGTTCCAAAAGATTCCAATAAAACCTTGTTATTGAACTTGATGAAGAAAATAGAAGAAATGATAGTTAATATGGCCAAGGATAAGGAAAAGAGGCAAAAGCCTACCAATACTTAAACTAATGTATGGTGCAGTAATTGTAAGGGTCATGGTAACAAAATGCCCTTCACCCTCACAAATGATGGGTCAATGTACATTTTGCATAGGAAAGCATTTGACAGCTAATTGTTGGGATTGACAAAGGCACTAACAATTTAGTAATCAAACCATGGTCCTACTAACTCCATGGAACGTCAATCAAGTTCAAACGGGAAATACGTTTGGATGGAATGGAAATCGATCTAATGGACAAAATCGAGCATTCAATAACTTTCAAAGTTCCAATTTTAATCAAGGATCTTTGTAGAATAGATATTAGTTTGGTTTTGTAAGATATTGGTTAAATAGACTAATAGTCCATAGAATAGTCAGTTCAAGAGGACGGATGGTTAACTTAGTTATTAAAAGTGGTTAATTACAAGATTACGGTTAAAATGTGGGAATAAGGAGTAAGTATATAGAAGTTAGTCTAAGTGCCAGACTGTGATAGTCATGAGCCGAGGTAAGCTTGGTGCTACCTCTTTGTTTCTTTGTTTCTTTATTATTGAAAAATAATGGATAGTTTTTGAATATTAAGAATTGAGTCTATGGAATAAATTAGAGATTGATTTATGAATTATTGATTATCTAATTGGAGCACTGACTGATTGAATTATATGAGGAATTATTAGAAGATTATGATTGTTGTTTATTGAGAGTTGTGTGTATTTTCATAGAAGAAGTCTGTGATTATAGAAGTTATGTGAATTCAGCTTGGGTAGAGTGAAATCTATTATTTGTGGTATTAGATGAAATTATTGTGTTTTGAACAATCTTTTGAGAGTGCAGTGTTACACATTGTTGTTATCAGTTGATGAAGGAGTATTGTTAGTGGGAGAAAACATTGTAGTATTTCTTGGTGTTTTAATGGTTCGAAATACGGTTAATTGTGTGACCCTAACAAATAAAATTTATGCACTTAGTCTTTTCCTATGTTTGAATCCTTGTATACAAATTTATTCTGAAAAGAATTGTAGAATAAGTAAAATGACA